GATTGACGGAGCCCGACGTTCTTCGTTGTTCTTGTTCAGTTCAATACTCCGGGCCGTTGACGACCCAGGCACCCAATCCTGAATCCCGAATCCCGAATCCCGAATCCCGAATTCCCGAATTCCCGAATCCCGAATCCCAATTCCGGGCCCTTGAGGACCCGGGCACCCAATGCCGAATCCCGAATCCCGAATCCCGAATCCCGAACCCCGAATTCCCATTCCGAGCCCTCGGCTCTCGGACAGCCAATTGGCGGGCTGCGTTCCGCCCAACCCCCCCGCCTCTGTTTGGCGGAGCTGCCCCCCCCCCCCCCAACCCCCCAACCCTCCCGTGTCTGTTTGGCGGAGCCCGGCGTTCTTCGTTGTTCTTGTTCAGTTCTATCACGGGGGAGGCTGCGCCCGCCCAACCCCCCCGCTATGTTTGGCGGAGTTGTTCAGTTCTATCATGGGGGGGGCGCAGCCCCCCCCCCCCAACCCCCCCGCCTATGTTTAACGGAGCCCGACGTTCTTCGTTGTTCTTGTTCAGTTCTATAATGGGGGGGGGCGCAGCCCCCCCCCCCCCCCCCCCCCTATGTTTGGCGGGCGGAGCCAGACGTTCTTGGTCGCTCTTGTTCAGCTCTATCATGGGGGGCCCCGCCTATGTTTGACGGAGCCCGACGTTCTTCGTTGTTCTTGTTCAGTTCCAATAATGGGGGGGGCTGCGCCCCCCCCAACCCCCCCGCCTATGTTTGGCCGCCCAACCCCCCCGCTATGTTTGGCGGAGTTGTTCAGTTCTATCATTGGGGGGGGGCGCAGCCCCCCCCCGCCTATGTTTAACGGAGCCCGACGTTCTTCGTTGTTCTTGTTCAGTTCTATAATGGGGGGGGCTGCGCCCCCCCCCAACCCCCCCGCCTATGTTTGGCGGGCTGCGCCCCGCCCAACCCCCCGGCCTCTGTTTGGCGGAGCCCGGATTTCTTCGTGGTTCTTGTTCAGTTCTATAATGGGGGGAATGGGGGGAGGCTGCGCGCCGCCCAACCCCCCCGCTATGTTTGGCGAAGCCCGACGTTCTTCGTCGTTCTTGTTCAGTTCTATCATGGGGGGGCTGCGCCCCCCCCAACCCCCCCCCCTATGTTTGGCGGAGCCAGACGTTCTTGGTCGCTCTTGTTCAGCTCTATCATGGGGGGCCCCGCCTATGTTTGACGGAGCCCGACGTTCTTCGTTGTTCTTGTTCAGTTCTATAATGGGGGGGGCTGCGCCGACGTGCGCGTGCGCGTGCGCGTGCGCGGGTGCGCGTGCGCGTGCGCGTGCGCGTGCGCGTGCGCGTGCGCGTGCGCGTGCGTGTGCGTGTGCGTGTGCGTGTGCGTGTGCGCCCCCCCCAACCCCCCCGCCTATGTTTGGCGAGCTGCGCCCCCCCCCAACCCCCCCGCCTCTGTTTGGCGGAGCCCGGAGTTCTTCGTCGTTCTTGTTCAGTTCTATCACGGGGGGAGGCTGCGCCCCGCCCAACCCCCCCGCTATGTTTGGCGGAGTTGTTCAGTTCTATCATGGGGGGGGCGCAGCCCCCCACCCAACCCCCCCGCCTATGTTTAACGGAGCCCGACCCGAAAATGGGATTTGGCTTTGGGATTCGAACCCCGAATCCCGAAATTGGGATTGGGATTGGCGATTTCCCGCTTTGGGATTCAAACCCCGAATGATTGGGATTGACATCCCGTTTTGGCATCGAATCCCGAATCCCGAAATTGGGATTGGGATTCGCGAATCCCGCTTTGGGATTCAAATCCCGAATCCCCAATCCCGAAATTGGGATTGGGGTTCGCGAATCCCGCTTTGGAATTCGAATCCCGATTCCCGAATCCCGAATCCCGAAACTGGGATTGGGCTTCGCGAATCCCGCTTTGGGATTCGAATCCCGAATCCCGAAATTGGAATTGGGGTTCGCGAATCCCGCTTTGGGATTCGAATCCCAAATCCCGAATCCCGAAATTGGGATTGGGGTTCGCGAATCCCGCTTTGGGATTCGAATCCCGAATCCCAAAATTGGGATTGGGATTCGCGAATCCCGCTTTGGGATTCGAATCCCGAATCTCCAATCCTGAAATTGGGATTGGGGTTCGCGAATCCCGTTTTGGGATTCGAATCCCGAATCCCGAATCCCGAAACTGGGATTGGGATTCGCGAATCCCGCTTTGGGATTCGAATCCCGAATCCCGAAATTGGGATTGGGATTCGCGAATCCCGCTTTGGGATTCGAATCCCGAATCCCGACGTTTTGGGATTCGAATCCCGAATCCCGAATCCCGAATCCCGAAACTGGGATTGGGATTCGCGAATCCCGCTTTGGGATTCGAATCCCGAATCCTGAAATTGGGATTGGGATTCGCGACTCCCGTTTTGGGGATTCGAATCCCGAATCCCCAATCCCGAAATTGGGATTGGGATTCGCGACTCCCGCTTTGGGATTCGAATCCCGAATCCCGAAATTGGGATTGGGATTGGCGACTCCCGCTTTGGGATTCGAACCCCGAATCCCGAAATTGGGATTTGGATTGGCGACTCTCGTTTTGGGATTCGAATCCCGAATCCCGAATCCCGAAATTGGGATTGGGATTCGCGACTCCCGTTTTGGGACTCGAATCCCGAATCCCGAAATTGGGATTGAGATTCGCGAATCCCGCTTTGGGATTCGAATCCCGAATCCCGAATCCTGAATTGGAATTGGGATTCGACTCCCGTTTTGGGGATTCGAATCCCGAATCCCGAATCCCGAAACTGGGATTGGGATTCGCGACTCCCGCTTTGGGATTCGAATCCCGAATCCCAAAATTGGGATTGGGATTGGCGACTCCCGCTTTGGGATTCGAACCCCGAATCCCGAAATTGGGATTTGGATTGGCGACTCTCGCTTTGGGATTCGAATCCCGAATCCCGAATCCCGAAATTGGGATTCGCGACTCCCGTTTTGGGACTCGAATCCCGGACCCCGAAATTGGGACTGGGATTGGCGATTTCCCGCTTTGGGATTCGAATCCCGAATGATTGGGATTGGCGACTCCCGTTTTGGGATTCGAATCCCGAATCCCGAATCTCGAACTTGGGATTGGGATTCGCAAATCTCGCTTTGGCATTCGAATCCCGAATCCCGAAATTGGGATTGGGATTCGCGAATCCCGTTTTGGCATTCGAATCCCGAATCCCCAATCCCGAAATTGGGATTGGGGTTCGCGAATCCCGTTTTGGGATTCGAATCCCGAATCCCGAATCCCGAAACTGGGATTGGGATTCGCGAATCCCGTTTTGGGATTCGAATCCCGAATCCCGAAATTGGAATTGGGATTCGCAAATCCCGCTTTGGGATTGGAATCCCGAATCCCGAATCCCGAAATTGGGATTGGGGTTCGCGAATCCCGTTTTGGGATTCGAACCCCGAATCCCGAATCCCGAAACGATTCGAATCCCGAATCCCGAAATTGGGATTGGGATTCGCGAATCCCTTTTTGGGATTCGAATCCCGAATCCCGAATCCCGAATCCCGAAACTGGGATTGGGATTCGCGAATCCCGTTTTGGGATTCGAATCCCGAATCCCGAAATTGGAATTGGGATTCGCGAATCCCGTTTTGGGATTCGAATCCCGAATCCCGCCAGGCGGGGCGATCTCCGGATCGCCACTCGTCGTCCAGGAGCTATCCAACTTGAAGACAGGTCAAGTAGGCGGGAGTCGCCGGCTCCGCTTTTCATGGCGATCCCCGCAGAGGGTTTGCCGAGGTCAAGACAACTCGTGCGGCGCAACAGCGAGCAAGAAGAACTTGCAAGACACTTTGGTCTTTGCAAATCGACCATGCCGATCCACGCAGAGGGTTCGCCGGGGCCAAGACAAAGTTGCAAAGCACTCTAGTCCCTGCACATCGACCACGCCGATCCACGCCAGGGTCCGAAAAGTTGGCAGGAGAAGTTGGCAGGAGAAGTTGGCAGGAGAAGTTGGCCCTTCGCATGCTTCCGGGAAAAGAACAAACTGCAGAATCCTCAATTAAAAAACACATAATATGTTAGTGGACATTGAAACCTATCGAGCCTCAGCCAAGCACTCCTGGGTACCAGCATAGTCCGCAGCTCCGCCAGCATCCCATTCTCTGCGAAGGCCTTATGCGCCTTGAGTTTGGCCGAACGGTTGGACCATCTGAAGATTCAGCAAGAATCAGATTCCTCTGAAAAGCGCTTGAAGCACCTTCCTTCCAGTATGGTCAAACTCCTCAATTATGCGGTCCAAATGATCAGCCCGTATAAACGCCGATCATTCTGGAGTGTTGATGACGAAGAACATGTCCGTTTAAAAGGGTGGAGGGCGTGTCGGTTGAGGAAAATTGCTTTTGGTGGCTTGTATTGGTGAATGTGAGATTCAAGGCTCGTATCCATGATGCCGTTTATCATGGAAGCAAAACAACAAAGGACCCCGTGTGCCATTGACATGTCTTCCTCAATTGCAGTTGAAGCACGAGCTCTTCCCCTTTCGGCCCTTCGCAGCGCAACGTCCCATCTTTTGTCCCCCTGCCTCCACGGCATCGACGGCCTTCAGCAAGCGCTCCTGCTGCTCCGGTGTCATCTCCTGCGCGATGCGAATGAGATGCGATCTGCGGATCTGCGGATTTGCGGATCTGTTGCAAGCGACCGAAGGCTCCTGCACTGTCTGGCGAATCTCCTCCGGAGTCGAGGTCTTCAGCATATGCAGAAGCTCGCAGGAAGCACCAGCGCCCATGGTTGAGGTGATGAGGCTGTGCTGCAGGGTCTTGAGCTCAGATCCGGAAAGGCTCACAGACATGTAGGCCTGGTCAGGAGGCATTTCAGCACCCAAGAAAAGTCTGCGAAAAGGAGTTGACCATGTGAGCCATCTGCACACCCCCAGGAGCCCCGTGCTCTTGATTTTTGCCAGCCATGTCCCGACGTTGGAGCCAAGCAGTACCTGTCCTTCTGTGGACGAGTTTTGCAGGCCGCGGCCACAGCTTGCTATAATTGGGTAGCACGGAGTACGCGCAAAACAAACTACAAAATTACATCGGGCCTCGCAAACCCGGCCACCCATCGGTGACCTCGCTGCGTGAGTTGCGCCACCGCTCGCCACTCACAGCAGGAAAATAATACCAAAATACATCCCCTTGACATGCAGCAGCTCCACTTACCCCTTGCGGACAGCACTGTGAGTGCCCCTTCTGGCTGCATGCACGTCGCGCCCCAGTCCGCGCCCGTCAAGCGCGAATTCAGCATCGTAGCATATCGTAGCCCCTCTTGATGGCATTCATTGCCCGCGCCTGCGCTGGCATCCAAACACTTCAAAGTGGACCCCTTCTGTCCCCGAATCCCGTGTGATTGAATGAACCTGAGAATGATTAAGCGAACCTCTTCAGGATATGAAGTCACCAACACCGGCTGCGCGAAGAAGGGCCCTGGCGACGAATGTCTGCATGCAGCATTATCTTCCCATTTTGCCATGTTCTGGTGTAAACACGTTAAATTGAGTCGCAAGTGTAAAATTGAACTTCTCTCTTCCACGGCAAAAATGCACCACGAGATACACTCCAACAACTGAGAAAGCTATTCCTGCTTGCTTTCAGCTGTAGGCTCGATCAACCCAAGCATATCTCAAAGATTCTGTGGAAAGCATGGCATGAAGGTCACATGCTCACAATCGAACGAATCTGGCGAAAGACTGCGCTTTCGACTTCGAGCTGCGATGCCTCATTCCGTGTCCGCACCTGGCCACACGCATCTGCATGTGAGCTTGCAAACCTTCTAGGCACGCAGCCCTTTACCATAGAGACCCACAAGTGTCCAATCCCCACCTTACCCGCAGGCGTCTCCAGGATAACACAGCAGTCTTGCAGCACGTGTGTCTCCTCACAAATTCCCAGGTCACACTATCTGCCAACGAACCACAAACATCTTCGAGTGTACGAAAAGTTTTTCCATCTGACTGCACTCCTTCCATGTGCTCGGTCCCGAAACTGCCACCACGGTGAAGGTGCTGCTGTCTGCCTGCCAGTGAAATCAAGCATGTCTTTCAACACGCAGCTTCCTGTCTCCTGGCCTCAGTGATGATGGCCTCGTAGCTATCGCCTGGTCCACCCCAGCCATCACCTGCCAGGATTGCCAGGATTCGGCTCTCAGCGGCCAAAGCTAAAACCCCTGTGTTGTATGGCAGTCGTTCCGCCGGCTCTGCATTCGTAATGGCACAGACATGTGAAACAGCGGCTTAGTAGAGATCGAGAAACGCAACAGCTGCATCGCAACTTCTGAGTTCACTTTGGGAAGTCCCTTCCCACCCTTCTACTCCCCTGGCCTGCCACCCGTACGCGGCAGCCCTGCTGCCGGGGCTGCAGCGTGTGGCCTCCTAATTCCTCCACATGCACCACATCCAACATATCTGCCTCAAATGCCTCTCTCAACCCCCCAGTTGGCACAAAGCCAAGATTAGAGTTTGTGGGACCCTCACATGTTCACGAGCAAAGCCATGACCAAAAGTACTATAGGATCATAGGCATCTATGCAAAGTGGAATCGGTTTACATACATGCATTGGATGTGCGTGGATGTTGTTGCAGTTGTTTGCATGAAGCGATCTGGCCGTCCAATATGAGCAAATGCGCTTGGTAATGCCAGGGCCTACGCGTGGTACAGTACATGTCAGCATGAAAGCGCCTACGCCCGGCGCGATTGGAGATTTGCATTAAAAATGCCTTCGCGGAATGCATTGTGTGTTTTTTTTCTCGCACGAGCATACAGAAAGCAAGCGTGCAACATGAAACCCCCTTTTTGCTGCTCAATGGAGGTATGGGCCAGAAAACGGGGATGCACGGCTAACTTGTACAGCCTAAGGCAATGCCTGCGCGGGGCCTACGCTGAGCCTACTCGAAACCGGTTGAGATTCTTGACAAGAACGATTGGAACGATTGGCTGAGCAAGAACGATTGGACTGCAAATGAAATGTTCGAGACTGCGCTGCCTACTCCGGGAGCTTCCCGGCCAGTCAGACATTGCCTACGCGCCTCCACGCATGCAGTCATCTGCCTACCAGGACCACCTCCTTTTGCCCCTTTACCACAATATTTTCTTGGAGTGTCAGTGTAATGTGTTCAACAGAGTTGCCAAAAAGCTGAGTGATGCTTGGGTCGTTTCTTTCTTGACGGCGCATCCACTGGCTTCTCCCTCCCCGTCCTTTAACTTCTGCGGCCGCTTCAGCTTCTCTGCTGAGGAGACCGAGGGTCTGCTTGGCCGACCTAGTGGTAGTGCCGATAGCTGAGCTGTCAGGGAAGAGGAAGTGCCAACACACAAGCCAACGAAAGGAAAGAGCAGGCAGGACAAAAGCGAAAACTACAGGGACTTGGAACGCTTTGTTCCACGGTGGGTGAGCCTGGCTGTCTCGAACATTTCATTGTTCTTCTGCCCACAAAACCGAAATGCCGAGACCCCACCCCGCCGCCCCACCTCGCCCCCGTGCCGGCGTGGCCACAGGTCGCGCTGGCGGGGTCTTACCGTTGAGCCGGCGCTTCGGGGTGGCGGAAGAGGAAGCTTTCACCTGGGACAGCTCTCTCTAAGACACGGTTCAAAATGGCTATCCCTCATCAATCAGGCTGTTCAAAACTGATGAATGCCACAGCACTGGCTGGCTTGTGATTCGCAAGGTCCGTCCCGAAGCGTTGGCTGGCTGGCTTGAGGGGTTCGCTGAGATACCCGGGACCCCAGAGACCCGCCTGATACGGGGCCGTACTTGCATAATCGACAGGGGGCTGGCCCAGGACACGAAGTTGACCCTTCAGCTGTATTCAAAAAAGCAAACACATCGCTTGGCATGCCACCCACAGGTCTTCCAACTCGTTTTGGCATTTGCAAGGTTGAACAGCCTGCAATCCTACTATCGCTGTGACCCATCAAACGGCCTCAGCTTTGGCCAGCGGAAGTCCAGCCTTGAGCAGGGCCAACAAGGGTACGGTGAAAAGTGGACTTGTGTGTCACGTCTTGAATCAAACATCCCTGGCCTCTCTGACTTTCTGGCACAAATTGTCAAGTTTGGGCTCGCTGGTGTCTGCCTGGCAACTTGAATATGTTCTCTGCACGGGTATCACCTTTCTCAGAGCCAGCAACGCCTAAAATGCGGCCTGTCTACGCACAAGTCCAATGATTGATGCTTCCAGCCAAATGAGAATCGGCTACACTGGTGGCTTTCAAAACTTGACTACTTCTGGACTGCATCGGGTCCTCGCTTGCATTCGCGGGCTGCTCCATGCCAATGTCCCTGTCTCCTTGCAAACAAGGTGGCTGCGTTTTGGGCGAGCGCCGGATCATGAGCCAGGCTGTCAGATTCAAAGCAGAACAGCAGGCTGTGCAAGCCGACCATGTTACTGCGCCTTGTCCAGGTTGATCCCTCACCATTCATGCTATATCGGTGCAAAGCCACAGCAAGCATCAGCCCTGAGCAGTTTCAACTATTACTCCTTTTGCCCAATCGATTCAGGCGGCTCAAATGCATAGGTTTGAATCGACAAGGCTCTGGAAAACTCAAAGCACCTCCGGTCTTCGAACAACGAATGACATACCTCACTCCTGTGGCATCCAAAACCTCCGCTGCATCTGCAAGCATCGCTGCAATCGCTGGAACTCCAGAGGTTTCGTCAGCCTGTCAAGGCTGGCGAAGCATCTTTCAATCGCAGGACTAATATGGGTGGGTCTTAAAATGGGGGCCTTTTTGGGGCCCTGGTGTTTTTCCTTTACAAACACAACACACCCATATTCATCCCGGAAGTCAAACACCTAAGTCCCTATGCAAGCCTACACCAACTGATGTATGTCTGCCTTCGGCCGCAGCATTGAGTCGGGATCGCCCGGAGCCAGACCTTCGAGGAAGGCCTGTCGACTTGAATGGGTTGCTTTGCTTCAATTGCGCTCATTGCTTCTGACATCATATCATGTGGCTTCAGCCGCGGCTGCTCTTTCGGCAAAAGAAAGTTCAGACAGACGCATTCGAATTTGAACAGATCAACAGCCTCGCAGATGTCCTGGGTCCCTGCCGCTTGGGTCTCAGCCACCTGGGTCTCCGCCAAGGCCTCAACAAGACAGAGAGTGATAGAGACGCCCAGAGACAGAGAAAAAAAAGGACAGCCAGAGACAGAGAAAGACGGAAAGCAAAAAACAACGAAAGAAAGAAAGAAAGAAAGAAAGAAAGAAAGAAAGAAAGAAAGAAAGAAAGAAAGAAAGAAAGAAAGAAAGAAACCATATGTTTAAAAAAAGGAGACAGAGAGAAAGAACAGCAAGAAAAAGAAAGAAAGCAAGAAAGAAAGAAAAAAAGAAGAAGAAAAAAGAGAGAAAGAGAGAAGAGCAGGAGAAAAACAATAAGAGAAAGAAAGAAAGAAGGAAAGAAAGAAAGAAAGAAAGAAAGAAAGAAAGAAAGACAGAAAGAAAGAAAAAAAGAAAGAAACAAAGAAATAAAGAAAGAAAGAAAGAAAGAAAGAAAGAAAGAAAGAAAGAAATGAAGAAAAGAAGAAAAAAAGGGGAAAAAAAAAGAAGAAGAAAAAAAGAAAGAAAGAAAGAATGAAAGAAATAGAGAGCGGGAGAGAGGAGAGAGAGGGAGGGAGAGAGAGAGACAAAAAAAAGAAAGAGAAAGAAAAAGAGAAAGAGAAAGAGAAAGAGAAAGAGAAAGAGAAAGAGAAAGAGAAAGAGAAAGAAACAGAGAAAGAGAAAGAGAAAGATAAAAAGAAAGAGAAAAAGAAATAGAAGAGAAAGAGAAAGAGAAAGAGAAAGAAACAGAGAAAAAGGAAGAAAAAGAAAAAGAGAAAGAGAAAGAGAAAGACAAAAAAAGAAAAAAGAAAGAGAAAGAGAAAGAGAAAGAGAAAGAGAAAGAGAAAGAGAAAGAGAAAGAGAAAGAGAAAGAGAAAGACAAAAAGAAAGAGAAAGAGAAAGAGAAAGAGAAAGAGAAAGAGAAAGGGAAAGAGAAAGAGAAAGAGAAGGGAAAGAGAAAGAGAAAGAGAAAGAGAAAGAGAAAGAGAAAGAGAAAGAGAAAGAGAAAGAGAAAGAGAAAGAGAAAGAGAAAGAGAAAGAGAAAGAGAAAGAGAAAGAGAAAGAGAAAGAGAAAGAGAAAGAGAAAGAGAAAGAGAAAGGGAAAGGGAAAGGGAAAGGGAAAGGGAAAGGGAAAGGGAAAGGGAAAGGGAAAGGGAAAGGGAAAGGGAAAGGGAAAGGGAAAGGGAAAGGGAAAGAGAAAGAGAAAGAGAAAGAGAAAGGGATTAAAAAAAGGGAAAAAGGCGAAAGGGCACAAGAAAGAGAAAGAGAAAGGGAAAGGGAAAGGGAAAGGGAAAGGGAAAGGGAAAGGGAAAGGGAAAGGGAAAGGGAAAGGGAAAGGGAAAGGGAAAGGGAAAGGGAAAGGGAAAGAGAAAGAGAAAGAGAAAGAGAAAGAGAAGAGAAAGAGAAAGAGAAAGAGAAAGAGAAAGAGAAAGAGAAAGAGAAAGAGAAAGAGAAAGAGAAAGAGAAAGAGAAAGAGAAAGAGAAAGAGACGGAGAAGGAGAAGGAGA